AAGGGATGCAGCAGAGATCTAAGTGAAGAGGAGGTATACAGGAGCAAAATCAAGGGAAACTGCATCTGTTTAAAGAAATGATTCTTTCTGACATTGTTTTAGAAATTACATAGAAATGTCTCTTGAACTGACTTGGGGCTATCTTGCCCTGTTGTTTTGTAAATTTTACCAAATTTTGTAAGTATAACTGGGAAGAAATAGATTTTGAATAAATTATCTCATAGCTTGTCACTTGGAAAACTACTGAAGGAAGGTATGTATCATGCAAAGTGTTTGTATGTTTAGTGGTCATGTGCTGTTAGCCCCTAATATTTTTGTTGAATCTAGAACTGTTTATTTAGTGACATAGCTTCAGCTATACACAGTTTAGACTGTGCACAGTTTTCAGTTAAGAGGCAGCATAAATTTGCAATCAGTCATTGTTTATAGTCAGAGATTATAACAATGAACATCATCAGTTTACAGGATGTTAAATTAATATTCTATGGATACCTGTTGTGTGTGACCTTACATCATAAGAGGGACGAAAAACTATGGTAAAGAGAAAAATCATAATATAAGTCAGCTGAATAAAATGTGTGCTAGGGCTTTCTCTATTCTAAGCTTTAGAGATATGTAATTTGCTTTGGTTAATTCAAACACTTTTCTTCAGTTGTAGCCTGGTGCTGTCCATTTTTGCATCATACTAACCCCTTTCTATAGCAAGGGTTGAAAGGGTTTTACATTACTGCAGTCATTTAGTCAGTAACATGAGAAATTCTAATGTTAAATGCCAATGGTTTTGATTTTAACAGTTTAAAAAGGGAATCCCTGAGAACAAAGAAATTCCAATAATCCTATAATCCTTGAATATCAACCGGTGTCAAAAAGCTGAATTCTAAGGATTCTTGTCTTGTTAATTAATTTTCAAAAGGGACCAACTTTTATACTAAACAAAAGAGAAATTTCTGGATAACAAAGTGCAGGCTGCTAGGTCAAGCATTGCAGAAAATGATCTTGCAGCAATGATGTCTCTCAATGAACTGAAGTTATTTGTCCTGGCAATAATGTGACTGAATGCATAAAACTACATTTCAGGAGTCCTAGCTGGAAGTTTGGTGTAGAACAGTTTCCCATGGGGTTTTACCAGTGAGGATGTCTGATCAAAGCCAAGGAAAATATTTCAGTAGCTATTGATGATCTCCAAGCCACCATGCTTAGATCCTTTTCTAGGATTATATAAGGAAATACTAAATGAGGGCCCATACCAAGAAAAAGACAGGTTTTTAAATGTGCTTTTTATGAGTGAGGAAGGACATTACTCTCATAATTAGTAAAACTGACAGTACTCTTAGTATTTCTATTAAATTATGTTTTATACAAATAAGGAATATACAGAAATGGACTACAGCCTCAAATCCACAGAACCCCCCTTTTTCAGTAGTGAAGTCCTGTGTAAATCTGGTTACACTGAGTAGATAAGCAATATGAAAATAAATGTATAATAAAACTGGATCGAATGATTCAGTGGCAGAAAATGTATTAGTGAGCAGTTGTTGTGTCCAGTTTGGCACTGAATTAGAATTACCTTTTCTTTATTTTTTTCCCCTAAACATTTACAACTAATTTACAGTATCTACACCAGATACTGATATTTTAGACACTGATCAATATCCAATTTTTTTTTTTTTTTAAGCATGAGAGGAAGTATGGTGGAATCCCATCTGTAAAGGAGCTAAGGAAGCTTACTTAATTCATCTTTTGGGATGACTCCAGAATGGCACTTCCACAGTCTTTTGAGTTACTGCACACAGGGAGCAATGCTTTCTAACTTTGAGATTTAGATTAAACATAAATTCCATGGAAACTTACCAGTAAGACTGTTGTATATTAAAAACAAATCATGTTATCTGATTTTAACTCTTGGGTATGCTTCTGTCTGTCTGTTTAATAGAAGAATGAAAAGGAGATTGTTTTAAACCAAACACAATAATTTAAAGATAATGGAAATCACATTCTGTGAAAAGAAAACATTTGTTAGCATTTATTTCTACATTAAGAAAGTAAACCTCATTATGAAAGCATGTTACTGTTTTTCCTTGCTGCTCTTAACTCTATTCTATTTCCACTCTCTGCTCACATTTCTTGCAGTGAGTTTTCACACTGCTAACAAATGGATAGGAAACAGGCATTGAAATGAATCTGTGTTTCAGAAGCAGAATATATCTGAAAGATGCACATCAGGCATTTCTAGACACAGCAGAGGTGTCTTTTTGGCAGATGTATGTTATACCAACTTGAACAAGGGATGGGGGCCTCGATTTTTAAAACTCATTCTTGAAACAATACTAAAAGAATTTGTTTGAAAGAATCTTACTTCTGACATAAAAGTTGTGTTTTTATTTTTCAACAGTAGCTATTGTTGTCATTGAAGAATATAGGACATTAAGATCCAGACCTGTGTCTTTACACTGTTTGGATTTCTCTTTAGTCATTGGTCTTTATAAGGTCAGCTTACTGTTAGTGTACACAGTGTCACTTAGAATTTTAAATGAATTGTCCTGTGGGACAATTTCTACTTAATTTGAAAACAAGAGGAGAAATATTAACCATTATGTGGTGGAGAAAGTATGAAATATATTTTAATTTGTAAACCTTCAAATTAGCCATCTTTTATGGAATGGAGAGAAATACAATCTAGATTAAGGAAAACCTTAGTGTCCCAGAGCCAATGGAGTATTTATATGTTTGTACACAGAACATATAAACTATCATAGATTTCAACCACTTTCTTGTTAAAACTTTGATTAGTCTGAGACTTGAGCCACCATGGCTATGATTACTAGCTTTCAGTTATGACACTTGAAACTTGCTATACAGGGTAGTTGGTGGAAATGCTCTATTACATAAAAAGCCTTTGATCCCATGATGGATGTTCTATGAATTGTGGGGGGAAGAATGAAAGTGCTGGAGAACTGGGGAAATAAATAATGAAGCCAGCTGATATTATGATGGCACAGCAGGAGTGGTATGTTTCACCCTGTTTTGTGATTTAGTTACGCGGCTTCTCCTTGCACAACATTTACTTATTGAAATAATATCTGTACTTGATTTGTCAGGCAGGCTTTAATAAAGTGCTGCAAAAGAACTTCCTCTCTATACCAATCTGTGGTACCTTTGAGAGATTTTTAATATGTTTAAACTCAAATCAGCAATGCTGTGTTTCTATTTAGATGGATTTTGCATCCTGGACTGTGCTCTCTTTAGGCTTTAATCCTATGCTTTGATCTGAAGCGCTCTAAGGGTCCAGTGAAGAACAATGATCTTTTTTAATTTATGTATGCTATTTTGTATCTTCATAGCTGTTCTGCTCAACTTCTACCCCTGTCTTTATTTCATTGCTTTACTTTGTCTTGAAAGTATTTAGAAAAAAATGTTAGTGCTTTGATAATTTTCTAATGACTATATAACCTCTTAAAATATAGCCCTATTTAAACTTTAGATTTCATTCTGATTGTAAATGAAGTGTTACTTTCTAGCATCAAAATATTTGTGTAGCAGCATGCTGAAATATCATCTCCGAAATGATAACAAATAAATAAATAAAAAAACCAAACAAAAAAATAAAAAAAACCAAAAAAAAACCCACAAAAAACCAGGAGGTATCTGAGTGCCTGCCAGAGACATCTTTATGTATAACTCCCAGAATAATAACATAATGGGATTCCCAAAGAATAAGAGCAGTATAACATGAGCAGACTACCAGCATCTAGTCAAGGCAGTCAGGGATCTGCCACCACTGTTGGTTCCTATACATCTAATTACCAAAAGATGTACACAAGTGATGCAGAAATAAATGAAAAGCTTTTTAAATATTTACACAAGGGTCAATTAAAAAACCACGAAAGAATATAGGAAATATAACCTTTTTCTTTTGTGTAGTTGGAATTTTATCAGGCTGGAGAGTGTTACTTTGATAGCAATACACATTCTTTTTAAACTTTTAATCACATTGTAACTGGAACACAGGATCTATGCTCAGTTTTATTTAGAGCTCTGAATGGGGTGTTACTTCTCTTCGAAGACGGCTCCAAAATGTCATTGATAGGAAGGCTACAAATAATTATGGTTCTCTTTGGATTACTGTTTCTAACACGGCAAAATCCTTTATTCTGCAGCCAAAAATAGCTGCATACTGTCTTAAGTGAAGCTGCCAACACTGCTCAAGAAGTAACTGATTAGGATTCACAAAAAATCTCTTGCATGATTTCTCTGCGTGAGTTTTAGCGAACTTCACCCCTTGGCTTCCGAGCCAAATGAAACGAGCCGGGCACTTTGCTTTTTCCTCGGGGCTGGGACTTGCCGCGGGCTGCATCCCCGCGGAGCCGA